TATTATATAATTGTATTTTGTAAGAAAAGAACAGTAGGAAAAACTTTTATCAGATATAAATGTTACAATGGTTGGTTGACATCGAATAATCAATAAATGAAAATTAACGTACAGTATCCCTTTGGCGCCTTGTTTCCATCATGAAACTTTAGGTCGGGCATGTTTTCCGTTCCCCAGTTGCTGAAAGACAGTGCATGTAATTAAGAATGTACCTTTTCCCGCCTATATATACCCTGCATATTTCACTAAAACTGTCCTTGTCTAACTACAGATTTATACTTGTCGAGCAATTTTAGCAAAAGTTCTGTATTCGACATTGTAGATTTTAAGTTATGTTCAAAACGAAAGAAAGCCATTTCATAACAAAAGAAGTAAACCTTTAGTAAGTGAATTTTGCTTCATGTCGCCTTATTGTGAGCTGTATTTTTTCAAATTTACGTGCAAAGAATTTCAGTAATATGAGGAAAATTAATTTTAAATTATCAATTTTCAAACCTACTGGAGAAACTCGAGCACTGGCGTGTGCTGTTTTCTGTGGAAAAGAAACTGCATCCGTTCTTTGAGGTCAGACGGCACGGTCTCCCCCTCTTCTGTGTACCCCATAAAGTACATTGTGGTCTTGAGGTTCTCTAGGGGAAAGGTCGCTATTAGTTTCATGCCCAAGACTCTAGAGTAAAAATCTACTGTCACACGAGGGTCTCTGATACGGTAGCATGTATGATGAAATGAATGAGTCTAAAAGAAAAAAGTAGAAAAAAAAAACGACTGTCACAACAACAACAACAACAATAATAAATGAAGATTCTTTCTAAGGCGGAAACTATTTTCGAATTATTTTCGGGTTCAATATTTTTCCTTTTTAGTATTTAAAGTATGTGTACAGTGTTTTTGGGATTCATGTCAACGCATAAAGGTAATTTTTATGTCACGGTAATTCTAAGCGCCCAACGCACCGTGCGACAGAAACGGCGAAATGTGTTGCGGCACGCGTTTGTATGGTGTTCATAATCTCAAAGGGAAATAAAATATTCTATTGGCAGCTTTTAATATTTTGCCTGTTTTCTGAGAAAAATAGTGAAGATTAATTTTATTATTATTTATTATCTTAAAAGTCAACCTGACATCTTATTTCCTTTTTCTTCATTTTTCTAAGCGGGGAATGTTTGTACCTACATCACGTTCACTTTTATTACGTGCATATATGTGTGCGTTGTGAAACCTAATAAGACTTCCTGACCTACTTTTTATCATTATCACAAATACGCATACAGATATGTACTCGTTTATATATCTGACGAAATTACCAGTGTTGCAGGCACAAAAATGCCCACACGAACACGCATGCACGCACGCACACACACACACACACACGCACGGAAACTACCGTTGCTGTAGACCCCCAACCCCCTCCCCCCACACACAGGCACACATAAAGGTCAGGGCTTGGACACGATTCCCTCTTACACCTGAGATACACTTATTAATGATAATATTAATATGAAACGTATACAGACTGAGTTTCACCTTCGTCTCTGGTGGAGGTGGCTTCACACACCGCTCCACCTCTTCAAAAGGGATAGGCTTAGCATCCATCGGTAGCTTGTGTCGGACCAGCTCAGTTCGCGAAGAGTGTCCGGGGCAGTAGGTTTTGCCGGGTGTCTGGGCGTTACACCTGTCTGGTTGGTCTCCTGAATACACGTACGTCCTATGATAACACGTGCTGTCTGCTTATATCGGCTGTGATATATCCTGGCTAGACTTTGCTATGTGCAGTAGAGTTTACAGAGCCGTAGCTTCGTATTATATTGATGGGAAGGCGGGTGGCGGGGGGGGGGGGGGGGAGGTCTGAAATGAAGAATAGTAACTTTTCAGTAAAATATTCTTTGGGGGTATGGCGACTTTTTACTGTGTGTGTTATGAAGAAGAGAGAACTTGAGTCAATTTAGGCCACATTCATCGATATGTGTTGCAGTTTCAGTTCAAGGTCAAATGCTGAGCTTAATATAAATACATGCATGACCTACCAACGAATCGTTTCGGGAAAATGGAATGTGTCTTTGAACGCAAACTTTTCCAGAGAAATGTGACATTATTTACATTATTTCCCAGCAATTACGGATTCGATCAACGAATTCAAACGAATAAAGCTGTCAAGTTCCTCATTTTTAGATGCCATGATGGCATTGTCTTCTCATCAATCAGGCATGACGGTGTGTGTGGGGGGGTCGCCTTTTTTTTCGTCCTTTGCGTTGAAATATCGTCCTCAATGCCACAAAAACAAATGAATTAACACAGGTTTAAACATGAAAGTATCAGTCATTAGAATTATTTAAAATATTTCAAAAATGCCGAAGAAAAACACACACACACACCGCAGCAGAATTTAAAAGCCAAATTGATGGTACAAACAAGACGCATCTCTAAAGGAAATAGTATGTATTAACCAGGTATTCCTGTTATGGAGATCAGCTCGGTCTTTCTTCAGCGGGAATGTTGCTATGTATATACTGCGTATAAATATGTAAACCCTGGTTTTAATACCAAACTATAACGGGAAGTTTTGTGTGGACAAAGCCAAAATGTGTCTGTCTGTTGGAATACTGTGTGCCGTATTGTTATTTATGATTGCAAATGGAGAGGTGAGTTGATATTTTTACAGGGCGAATTTTCTAAACGCTTGGTCTGCATGAATGGTTATTAATATAAAACAAGTTTTCGAAAATTTGGCACGCTAGCTGCACAGTGCGTGCAATATATCAAAGTAGAATGGATCAGTATGTTAAAAAAGAATAAGGACCCCGATCTAATACATACAGGACCGGCGGCGGAAACGTTTTTGTTATATCCAGATAATAATAAAGGGATTGGCCATAATTTCTTATTTGATTTTTATTTTCATTTATCGTTACTTGTTTTTTATTTCCTTTATTCAAGGGTCAGATACAAGGATATTATAGTAAGTAAACCGACAATAACGTTAAAACAAAATATAATATATAGTGTATTTATTAGTCACAATAGACTTTTTTATTGCTCATTCAATTTCTTTTGGTAAATTTGCAATTCTTTAGTTCTGGTTTCGCCTACAACCATTCTATACTGTAAGTATAGTAAAATCGGCCATCAGTAAAAAACCAAAATGCTGTTGTCTGGGACAGGTGGTAGACGATATCTAAAGTGCAATCATAAATAGCATAAGAAAGTGTCACTGGTTTCTTATCTTATATGTGAATATTCAGCTTGTAAATTCTTTTCCAGTTCCACTATGTCCAGAGGATCAGGTTTGGAAATTCTGCGGATCTTGCAAGGCGACTTGCAGAAACCCGTTCCCGATTTGTGCAGCAGTTTGTCTACCGCCGCAGTGCGAGTGCCCGCGTGAAACTGTGTACCATAAAGGACGGTGCATCGGGGTGGATCAGTGTCCGTAACTTTAATATTGGTATATACTGTAGGTCGACCAAAACAGTGATATTCCAGAGTACCAAAGAACAGTTTTCAAACACGTCTGTACATCGTCACACAGCCTACAGCACACAGACTGGTCCATTATCTCTGCAGAACGACGCCTGGGTAGTTGTAGGATGTCAACGCAAGCTGAATCCCACGTATATATTTTTTTTACCCAGGAATTCAGGATTTTCAATACTAGTAGGCCTACTCAACACCCAATAGTATAGACGATTTGTTCGAAGGTCCCACAAGCAATCTGTCTCATATAATTTGACGCTAAAACGAAGTTTAGTTATTAGAATTGATATTATGTTAATGTTACCCCTTTCTATATTTAAGTTAAAATAAGTTAAAATAAACTACTAATTAACATTTGCCTGCGTTACTGATGCCGCAAACCTCGTTTACAGCGAAGAAATTGATTGAAAAATAAAATAAAAATGGTAAGCGAAGTTTTAGATTCTTGTTGATGCTCAATTTAATCAGCAAAAGTTATGCTGATTGTAGTCAGCGAGAGTCTCCACAGAGTTGGGTCGTTCCACGTAGACCGCTGGTGTCTACATTCAGATGCACACATCGTACAGGCTGGATCGGTCTATCTCTGCGGGGGGGGGGGGTCTCGCTTAAGTGCAATCAATGGAATCAGCTTAATTCTCTGACACGCCTCTTCGAGCAGCTGCATGGGGAATAATTAACCATCTCGTGTGTGTTGGACCGACCCAGCTAGTACGATGTCTGAATCTGAATGTGTCCACTGTGGCTTGACTGACCACTCATACAGCCAAAATGACAAATGACATCTATTAAATCTTTATATCGTATTTAGCAATATGTTCGCGTGAGGACATCAGTTGGACTGTATCTGGTCTGATTTAGTGAAGTTGTGGTGCCAGTAGCCATGTCCTTTTTTAACGATAAAAACCACCAGTATGTGAGACTAGATTGTTCTCAATTGCAAAATATTTTAAGTGAAACATACATGCATAAACAAATTAATTCAAATTTAGACACTGGTTAAATGGAATGTGCCCTCTATTTTCTGTTTAAATTTGACGTCAGGATATTACCTCCTTAACATACATTTTGGGCGCGCTTATCGCACTCATCGCGGGTATCCACTGGTGACAGCCAGGGATAATGGGTAAATGGATATAAATATAAAATATGCGTCAGTCTCAACACTTAAACTTCGAGGAGGATTAGCAGATACGTACAAGTATTGAAGAAGTACTAGTCAACGACCGGCATAACAATGGACACCAAATCTGCATGTATCTCGGTGTTGATGATATTGGCGGCCCTGGGTACCAGTAGTGCTGTCCTGGACCAAGAAGTCATTGGTATGTGTCAAATTTCACTCGCTATTGCTATCAATTTGTCATATATCTTCTGGTGTAGACGAGTGCGGTTGTGTTGTTGTGCTCGTAAACCGAGTTAATTGCATCATTATGCAATTGGATAAAACGCGAACGTGTCTGTAGTCTCCGATCTTAAAGCTCTGTTAATTTCAATTAAAAGCATTTCATTGCAATTTAATATTACAAGGATGTGCTNTTGGATGTCACATGTGAGAAAATAAGCTTCGGAGCTAACAAAACTGCTTATTTTTTCAGAAAACCTGCTCCATGTCTTTTTATGCAGTGTTTTCCATTTTTGTAGAATCTTTATACTTTAGTGGGTTATCAGTGTTTACTTGTAACTTACACAATATATAAAGGACTTTTACACATTTGCCTGATTAATAGCGTTTTGGTTGTGCAGTAGTAGCTAAGTCTACGTTTTAGTATCATAAAAATATTCCATCAGACCATGCATAACTTATATGCGCTGGAAGCAATATAATATAGTAGTGAATTTATAAATTTCGTTGAATTGTGATGGATAGCTTTTGCGAAAATAAAATTTAAAACTTACTATACTATATTGTCCAATCCGTGTAAATGATAAAAAGCCATTGTTTCGTTTGTAACGTTATTTGTGTCGTCTACTGACAACGAATAAAAATTGACTGTGACGTCATAAAGTGGAACTGGATGACGTCAACAATCAACTTTGGTTACCCTTCGCAACAAGTTGGAAAGATAGCAACTCAAGATGTCTTGCGGATTATCTTACTTGTTTCAAACTAATCTTACACGCCGAAGAATTGCGCGAGCAGTGGCTTACGTCAGATCCAAGTTATTTGGTAAGAAGCCCAGAAAAGCTCCTAGCGAAAAGACCGCCATGAAGACGTCCTTGGACGATTATTTACTTGATGATGCAGTTCTTCCTATGTTCGTAGAGAAATGCATTGCGTATATTGAAGAGAATGGGCTCGGTTCAGAAGGACTGTATAGAGTACCTGGAAACAAAGCACATGTAGAATTACTGTTGAAAAAGTTTAAAGAAGGTGAGTTAAATAGAATAAGGTTGTGGTTTTTTATCATATCAGTCCCTGGGAATAAGATATGTGTAAAATTAATGCAACAAATGTTTAAGAAAATTATGTTTAATATTGTAAAACATATTTACCCCTCGAATGACACTTTTTTTATATATATATTTCATATTTTTCTAAAAACTATTTTATTAACTGAGAAAGTAGTTTTTTTCCTACCAAAATTTCAAACGAAAGACTTGCGCCATAGTAAAGAATGCACGGGGACAGAAATATTTCTCCAAAATTTTTTTTATATGGGATATGATTGCTCTTTGAATGTTATCCAACTGCTTTTGTTTCACAGATCATAGTTTGGTTTTTGATGATTTGGAAATCTCTGTCAGTGATGTGGCAACAGCACTGAAGACTTTCTTCCGTGAGCTGCAAGAGCCACTGATTCTTACCAAACTTAACGACGACCTTATAAATGCAGCAGGTAAGATACTATAGCAGATCTGGAAGACGCCCTTTTTCGCAATTTTTAGAATCTATTTTTTTTCATGTTGCCAAATTTAGCAAATGCATTTTGCAGGAGTTTCTCTGTGAGAGATATTTAGATTTGGTGCTTATTTATTTATTTATTTATTTATTTAGAGGTTTTCTGAACTTATTTTTAAAATCATTTGAGGTGTGATTTGTCATTTTCAGGTATCCAAGACAAAACATGTCGCCTTCAAGCTCTGAGAGATGTGCTTCAGAAGCTTCCTGCTGCCCACTACCGCGTGCTTAAATTCATGGCCACACACTTGAACAAGTGAGTTGGATTCTACGATTATTAAGTCATGCCAAATAAACAAAAGTGTTCTCAAAATCACTTTCAAAATAGTTTTTCTTAAGGCGCCGATCTACGTTTTGGCGAATATTTGTATCTTTCGTAGATAATGATGTTAAAGATATAACATATAAAATATATGTATGAAGGTTATAAAAGACGACACAAAAATATCTCAGTTTCGAAAATTATATGCACACCCTATATATTTTTATCATCAGTATGTTTGATTGATGGGTTGTTTTTTTTTCAGAGTGGCATCACTCAGTTATGTCAACTGCATGACCAGTGCCAATCTTGCCATTTGCTGGTGGCCCACACTACTACGGCCAGAGTTTGCCTCTTTGACCGACATGGCATCTAGCGCAGCCCCACTCCAGGCTGTTGTGGAAACCATCATTGACCAACACGGGTTCTTGTTTAATGAGGAGAGTGAAGTGTAGACATTGCGTTCCACGTAAAATCGAAATCCTTCAGATTTCATGCAAAACAATTTCTAAACGTCTACGGATAGCTCATCTTTGCTGCTCATTATATTGTCCAACGAAGGTTTAATACGAAGAAAGGGCAGTTTAAAATTCATCCGCTCAAGTTATCCATGATTAAGCTATTGGAAAATCTAAGAGAACCTTGTGACATTTGCGGCGTATTTCTGGCGCCAGTGGTTCCAACCGATGTGGATGAATCTGTATCATGTTCATTCATTCCAAATAAATGATACGCCGAGCGTTATGATTACGAAGTCAGGTGACGAGTCTAAAAACTGGTAGTTTTTACCAATTCATCTATCAGTAACTTATTGATGCATCTATTCATTTTGTTTTGTACCCATATTATGTACATATGTATATATTGTAAATATTTTCACAGATACATTTCATTTGTTCCTAAAGGTATTGATATCCATTTTGAAATTTGTGAATAAAACATCAACATATAAAAGATGTGTTCTATCTGTATTGACATGGACTCGAACTCAACATTTTCGCATCTGAAGTTAAAGGAGTGGCACGCAATTGCCTTGAACTCTCTGGGGTCGATCGTCACTATGTATTGCATTGAACTTTATACATGTTGTAGCAAAAGTTGCCATAGGACCCCCTTGTGCTTCTAGTGTCCTATAAGACCAGACACTTTTATTGATACAAAATAAAATGTTAATTTGATGCATAAAGATAAGGAAATACTTCATTCGGTTCCGTTTTTGGACGTGTACTGTAAATGCCAATTTGCATTATGACCCCTGATTTGTACTAGAAATTAGGACACCACTTTAACTGTGTAGGCCTACTTTAAAGTCATGGGTGGCAACATTGCCGTCATATCTTTGCAATATTACCAACACCATTATATTTCATGCCTAAAAATTTCCTCTAGGTGACATGGTTACATGGGTCCATGTTCATGTCCATGTATATCAAGGTCCCTTTTCGATATTACAAATGCAATGTGCCCCAAAAAGTGTCTGCTCAATGCTAACAACAACGACAATCTCTGGGAACATAGTTTTTAGATTCAGAGGTATCCCTCTTTCCTCCCCCCCCCCCTCCCTCAATATTTCGTTGCCATATATATTTCACAAATACAGAGTTAGTTTGTTGTACGCGGTATGTCGCAAGTAAGAGCAGCCTGAGCAGGGCTCCGTAACTCGAAAGCATCGCGAATTGCGAATAGCGGTACCACCTTTTATTCCGAGGCTATTATTTGGGGCGAGTATGGGTGAATTATGAAATCGAGACGCTTGCGCTACGGGCCCAGGTTAGCAAATGTACATGTATAGGCCATGAATATAATGTCACCATTGTAAATTGAGAAAGATAGTATCGGCGTTAGGGGGCACAATTCAGGCACCAATTTTGGCGATGAAAAGATTGTCACCAGAGCAAAGTAACTAGTGTGACATTGTTTTAATCAAGATCCGCCCGTAAATAATAATGGTAATAATGATAATGATAACAACAGCAGTATAATGATGATAATCACATAAATGATAAACACATTTGTTGTGTACTTCATAGCTTGGACATAATAACTCGTTATTATGTCCAAGTTCAAAGGAAGCTACCCGATCTAAAAACACATGTGCAGTAACTGATTTATTCATATTTTTCATTAACTTCAGATAAGATCTGCGATACTGGAATCCAGCTGAATACTCACCCTGAGTCCTGTAACAAGTACGTGCAGTGTCACCATGGTATTGGCTTTGAGAGGGACTGTCCGGCAGAGGGCATGCGGTTTAACGTGGTCCTCGGGGTGTGCGACTGGGGAGAGGCCACCGAATGTTTGCCGGGTGAGTCACAGGGTGTTTTAACATTGGATACACGGTGGAGGGGGAGGAAGGGGGAGGGGTGGAGGCAAAATAGATGAATTGACTCGAAAGAGTTTTGCCTTGACCTAAGCACTTGCGCATGACCGGTGTCGGGCATCATAGAGTCCGCCTTTAAAGAGAGTCTGGGACCCGTTGTTTCTAGACAGAAAGTCGATGTTCGGACTTTCAGTTTTGAAACACTGTGCACATGGGTTCGACGTACCCTGGAATTGTAGAACTTTGTGTTGTTTGAAACCGGTGTAACGTGACAAAGAGTCCCCCATGATAGACAGTCCGCTTCCCATCCATTTGTCCACTTATAAGTCAGGCTAACCCTAACCATAATAACTAAATGGAGGGTGAACTCTGTTACACGGACCCTCAGTTTCGTTGCACCGGGTCTTCATTTGTGTAATTCATGAAGACAAAAGCGGTTTTTTTATTTTTAAATGTGTTCAAAATTTAAAAGTTGACAAATCCATAGAGAGGTTTCTATATGCAGTGCTCCGACCCTTGATCAGATGCATATGTCTGGTGATTAAAATATTGAAATAAAGTAAATTTGCACAAAAAAAAAAGACACCTGAGGGAATTTTTCAAACAAAACGAAGGAAACCATTTCCAAAGAAAACGTAAATGAAAACGAAATAATATTTCTCTTCTTAATTTGTCTTACAGATGGTTGGCGCACGCTGCGGCGACTGGGGTGCACGTTTGACCCGCAAAATATTTACAACAAAGAATTCCATACCAACCCTTCTCTCCCTGTCCCTGCCAACTCTACCGACCTCACGCCATATCTAGAGGCCTGTGTAAAAGAGGCCAGACTCTCAGGTATTCTAAACTTTGCTATTTCATTCGATGGCCGTTGTTTGACCACTGAGAGTGGCAACGGAGGAGATTTAGAGGGCTTAGATGCCAGCTGTACCATCTATGACGTGTTCGAGGGAGGCTTGCTGGTGTACGCGTTTGAGGAAAGTAGGTGGAGTTTTATCGTATGTAGTTGAAGTTGAAGCTTGCAATCGATAAATAAATAAATAAAGTCCTGATAATTTCTGAGGACAAATAAAGGTCATGAACATTATATGATAACAAAAATCATAACAATTAGTATTATATAAAGTGCGTTTTATCCTGATGTTTGCTAAGGGGATACATGTCCTCAAAGGAAAAAGGTTAAAATCTCCAAGAAAATGAAAAAAAATTGCTATGCAAATATAGAGCGTCCTTGCGTGCCCCTTCGACAGGTTTCGTTGTTGAATATGTCATCTTCACTTGAACAAATACAAATTAAGCTAAAATCTACAAAATATCTAGATCTGATTGCTAAAATTTGCAATTTTTGCAATATTAATTATTATTATTATTATCCCAGCGCCGGTGAGGACTGATATACAACCTTCTGTGGTTGAGTTTGGACTGTTGGTATTGTGTTCTACGGGTGCAAACCCCCTGAGTTATAATGGATACGGCTGTTACTGTGGGCTTGGCGGTTCTGGTACACCGGTCGATGAAACAGATAAGTAAGTGAACATATGGATTTGAAAGTAAAGCACGTCTATGGATTTGAATTTTCTCGATTGTTTCTTTTTTTAAAGCTTTATTTTCATTGATTCATTTTTAACGCAAAATTTATAGATAAATAATCGTGATGTATCTTTGTAAAGATGACTGTGTAGTTCTTCTTTTTGAAATCCTAAATCGCCTTCCTTTATTATAGATGTTGTAAAATTCACGATGACTGCTATACTGCCATACAGACCAGTGGTACCTGTGCATTGTCTATATCAGTTTATGTCGTCCCGTATTCTTGGGACGGGTGCAATCCCACTGTTTGCAGTAAGTATCCCATAACCAGTCGATTTTCAAAAGAACTTATGTCAACTCACCTCTATACATGCCGATAGACGGAGAAAGTGGAGAAATGTCACTCTTAACCGATTTGGAATCGCCAAAAGCTCTAACGAGCAGTTCTTCGTTATGATGCCTCTTCCGATATATTGAAAAAAAGTTCGCAGTCGAGAAGCAGTTCCCATACGTATACATGGAAAGACGCGAATGATAGCAGGCCAAATAGTTCGTGGATTGCAATGCGGTGCTTGCAGACAATATTTATTTAATCGGTCATGAAATAGCAATTAATTCGCAAATTAAGTCTCAAACAGCAATTGCCGTTTATGAGGCCCGTTTTAAAACGCCAATAGTTCTTTTTTTAAATTAATAGTTCTTGCAGCAACTTTACTTTCTTTTTTCAGAGCCTGCAAGTTATTATTGGTTTTTCGGAACATGCCGAAATGCTGTGTGTGAATGCGACGCGGCAGCTGCGCAGTGCTTCAGTGATCATAGGGAAACGTTTAGTCAGAACTACGTGAACTACGACAAAGATGGAAAATGTTGAAAATACAACACAAGAGTCACGTGGGACTGTAAAAACTGTAATAACTTGACGTTGGAATATTATTGGATTATTATCTTGATTAAATTCTAACGTCTGAGAAAGCGACTTGTGTTGTTTTGAAAGAATGTTTGAATTACATTGAATTCCAAACAAATTCATTTAAAAATACAAATATTGATCGATCTATAGGAAAATTAAACTACTTGGCCCAGTTTCCTCAACACTGGATAATACTATCCATAAGATAAAGCAGTAATCCCCCAGGCAGTTGCCCTGTGTATATAGTAATGTTTTCTGAATACTAGATACTTATTGTGCCTCTGATACTGTTATCATGTGGTTAAAATGGCTCCTCATGATAACTTTCCACATAACAATTTTATCCAATGGATAGTGTATTCCATGGGACAGCGCTATCCAGTGTTGACGAAACTGGGCCCTTGTGTATAAAAGGTGTCCATTTCGATAGAAATTATTTTGTTTTTCGCTTTGTTTAGATTAAAAAGAATTCTGCAAAATTTCTATTCATTTCAAAGATAACCAGAGCTGTATAAGGCCCCATTAAAAATAGGGGACTAACTAGTCCGAGGGTCAAATATGGCCGACCTACTTGAATACTTCCCTACGGGATATCTACATGTATAAGCCGATTAGACGGCAAGTTTTGTTGTGGGTCGCCATATTTGACCCTCGGACTAGTTAGTACCCTATTCTGAATGGGGCCTTAAAGATATAAGGGGATAAATGAAGAAAGGTTATCCCCTTAACCCCGGATCCCCGGCTCCTACGCCTATGTTTTACACCGTCTAAATTCCTGAAAAATCTGCAAAATATCCCACCATCGCCAATGAATGGTGGCAGAAACAGAGTTTTCAGTGTGCTCTGAAACTTGGTGTGTTACATGCAGACCGGACGTAAAGGTTAATGCTGTCCCTCACCAGTTCTCGAAACACCAGCCAGGCACATGCAAGCTCTTACGAATTTATTAGTGATTAGCGATTTTAACATGGAAATGGACTCGTCTTTGAATAACTAGATAAAGAACTACAGTGCAGAATGCTGTACTATCGATCAGTGTACAGTGAATAATAGTATATTACCAGGACATATAACGGGATGACCTCTAATGGGATGGTCCCAAAGGGGTTTATAAGCCAATGGCAGTAACATATATATGCAGTATATCACAGAAGGATATCCCAGCATTCTTGGGTAAAGCAATTTGTATAAGTAATGGCAACATGGCGTTAAATCACTTGGTATTGTTCACCGGTAATATATTATGGATTGAATGAGAGTTCGTTTCAGAATGGAATAAGGATTAAACGTATGAAAACCTGAATGTTGAACCCGGTGGAGGAACATCAATGGCATATGCATGTACCAGTACACCCGGTGTGTATCCAAATGCCATTCACTGTTGACCTTCAAGCCGGATAACTCAATATAAAACGTGGAAAGATGACGATCGATTGAGTCAATTACAAGTCTTCAAGTACGCAAAATCACTGCACTGTACATTTGTACACATTGCTGAGGAAAGGTGCAAGTATTAAACCGTTGGGACTCTATTTGGAAGGTTTCAGTCTGGGTTTAGTGAGTTGTCTCATGTAAACTGGCATGGTTTGGACAGGAATAGAGAGGCTGACATTTTTCATACCAGGTTCCTCTCGACGACAATAGATCTACTATCAGTGTGACAGATATTACATGGCAAGAACCGAACAAAATCAAAAATGGACGAAAACCTGTCAAGAGGCTACGTTCAGCTCAGCAAACAGAGGGCTAGTGTGTCCAGCATTGGTGGCCAGTCCAGTGAGAGTGGGCAGTCCCCCTCTGGCCTCAATGTACCCCACGACACCTGCAGCTGCATCTACCTTGGTCTAATTCTGGCCGGAGCTGGGTTCTTGCTGCCATACAACAGCTTTATCATAGCGGTTGACTACTACCAAGATCGTTTCCCCGACACAACAATAGTATTCGATATGAGCCTTACATATATCTGTGTCGCGTTTGTAAGTGTGTGCATTAACAATGTACTGGTGGAACTGCTGAGTCTTCACACTAGGATTACAGTGGGATACGTAATTTCGTTCTTGACATTGTTAAGTGTGGCGTTATTTGACGTGTGGTTTGAGCTGCTAACCAGGGACAGTGCCTATAGGGTCACATTGGTGGCCGTGGGCACCGTGGCCCTGGGCTGCACTGGTAGGTGTCGCCTTTAATTATGACCGCTTTATTTTACCAGTTCAATGCCCGATATCAGAAGAAGGCGAATCGTACCATGTTGCATGAAACGTGTTATAGATATAAAGACGAGTTGGGTGGGGTTGAGGTTTTGTGTCCTAGCTCCTATTCTGCTCCGTTATTTTTACTTTCCAAATTAAATAACAGCATCAATGCAGAGAAAATACGCTGCAAATATTACGATGCACCTGAAACTGACAAGCCATTGCTTCTTCAGCAAAACGAGTTCGCTCACTTCTATTGATTATCGATATACCAAACAATATACGTTTACTCAGTTGCAGCTGCCTGTGTATTGAGAGCCGTTTATTAAAGACCGTATCTGCCTTGATAAAATAGAATGCACTAAAGCGATTACTATAGATTCGTTCGCTGCAAATTTGCAATCTAATCCGCAGTTTGGTGTCTGTCCTTTCTCCTGTTCAGTATGATTCAGTTTTGTCTGTGAACGCGAGTAAAGATTACGATGTCAAAGATTCCTGAATTCGAATACGGAGTGAAGTCTTCTTCACATTTGGGATGATATGGAAAATTTATTAATTAATATCGGGCTAGTTGTTACTAGGTCTGCTTTAGCAAATGAACTATTTATCTCCAAAAATGAAAAAGGAAATGGTGAAAGTAAAAAATGTCAGAACTGAGGATCTCGTTGAAGACCTATTACATGTATTTGATTCTGTAACTAAGATATAAAATGTTGCTACAGAAGGCGCTGACGTTTTATCAGCTGGAATAAATTTGACATCTTCTTTATCTGCACCTTGCAGTATTCGCGGGTCTAATTGTCTACTCTGTTCTGAACCACGTCGTCGTGGCAGCAGAGATAATAGAAATAATATTCCTAGGCCTAAATTCTTTTCTTCATCAAACGTACTTCTGACAGCAACCAACTGATAAGAAAGATCAACTGAAACTCGTAATTAAATGTGATTAAAAAATCAATAGGACGAAGATGCTTTCCAAGCACTGCGTTAAGTTATTAGAAAAAGAAAAAAAAAGATTCATGGTACAAGTACAGTAAGAAAGGGATCATTTTCAATAACGGGCTCAACGTCTCGCAAGTTAATTTGATGTTGGGTGCTTCAGCAAAAAGTGTAGGCTACGCCAGTGAATATCGACCTCAGCAGTATAAGTACACGCGTCAGTTAAAGTCTTTAGTCCAATTCTGTTCTTCGTTCATGTCAGTTCAGTGCATGATAAAGGTCCATTAATGCATCCATCAATTGTCAGTTTGCAATTCGGTATGGCATTATAAGTTAATTAACCAGAGATGGACGGAAAATAATAAGGAAAAGAAGGGAATGTTCTTGGTTCATTATGTATTCTTCACATCCTATTTCATATGTGAACGATACCCATGAATACGAGTTTCTTTCCGTTGTTCGTTTCAGTTCAACAATCCAGTTTCTACGGCTATACCAGTATGCTGCCCATGAGGTACACGCAGGCAGTTATGACAGGCGAAAGTAAGTGTCAATTAAGTCGCCCCCTCTTTCCTGTCCAAACTTCTGGGGACATGCACTTTATTGCAATACCCATTATGTAATCCCTCCATGTAATCTCTCTGGACTTTGTAATGACCACTTCACTCATTAACTGGTTGTGTGTGTGTGTGTGTGTGTGGGGGGGGGGGGGGGTATTGCGAGGGGGTTCCAATTAAATGTCAACATCTTAAGGTTTGGCCCAGAAAACTTTTGTTAATCCGCCGAGAACATGGCGTTTAAGGACATAAAGAGGGGTGGTCTCTTAGATCAGTTATTTATTAATAACTAATATGATAATAATTAAACTTTTAAAATTATTAAAATTATGTAATACTGTATAAGGAATCTTGACGTTAGATAATATTTGAGATCACAGCACAGGGTGACATCTTTTCATACATTATGTCATCGATTTCTGCCAAACGCACTTCCGTCGACCATTGATATGATAAGATAATATGAATAACTTAATTTCGCAAGTAAGACAAAATGCTTTTCTTAAGACTTTGCAATGTGGAACAACATTTATGCATAAGCTTTTCATTTCTAGGACACATCTTACAAAAAATGAACGAATAAATGATTTTGATCCGCCAATGTAGATATCTGGAGGAGCGTTTCACACTATAATCACATATTGATAGAAGATGATGGTGATAAAGTCATATAAATTCATTAACGAGTCCACAATGAATTTTTTTTCAAATTTGCATTCCACAAAACAACATATTTTGTTGTTCGTATTACAATTTACCCTATATGTGGATTAAAACCAAATTTCGGGTATGTGCTTTTGAGAAGCCGGCTACTGTTGTTGTTCAGACAACGTTCAACCAACAATGTGCAAAAGATGCCTGCCCTTTAGTGTTAAAACTGAGTGTTATGTTTAATGCAGTGCAATGATTATTTTCCAGGTGCAGCAGGCCTTTTGGTGTCAGCAAACCGTATTGTGACGAAAGCTCTTCTTAATGATGAAAAGGTCAACACCATGATCTTTTTCTGCATCTCCGTTGTGACCGTATTCGCTTGCTTTGTCATCTTCAACCTAATCCGCAGGACGGAATTTGCGAGATTCTACGAGAATATATGTCGTACAGCTGGCAAACCAGACGATAAAGTGGGATTTTCCAACCAGACCGTGATGCAAGAAGAGGTATGGTACTCAGAGAAGGCCCATGTTTAGTGGTGCAAAATCAATGGCGGATGAAGACAGTATATTGGGACAATTACCACCCCCTTTAGAATCGGAGATACCCCCATCTATATGTAACATCCCCCCCCCCCGCTCTCACCGGGAAAAAAAATACGGTATATTTAGATAAAAAGAGTTAAAACCAAGCAATCATCTGTCCCTATGCCCGACATATAACAGTAAAATTGCCGTAGTCTTTTATTACATATTAGCCTTGCTTCGCTGTGTAAAATATTTTATGCCCCCCCCCCCCTAAAAATGGCAAAATCCTGGATTCACTAGAGAAAATATCATTAACATTCACATTGATTTTAATAACGCCTGTTATGATAGTTTATTTTCACATTTGAAAGTGAGTGATTGCAGACGATAAGTAAAGAATTTTCGCGGCAACGACTGGGTCCGTAGTTGGGCTCACCTATCGACGAAGCATTCTTTTTAAGATGGAATCGAAGACGTTTAAATTTAAAGCGGGTTTTGCTTGGCAATTAACTTCTTATTACGACCTCTAATTATGATATAATACAGGTTGAAATAGTGGACCATACAACTAACCAAGGAAACTATGGGGTTCTGGTCATCGAGCATGACGATCAACCTAGACACGCTGTGTCGTCGTCATCTTCACGTCATAGTATTGCTGATGACGTCAGAATCAAGTCTGAACCCTGGACAGTCAGGAGACCTACAACCATATGGGCCGCCATCAAACGTGAGAAAATATAAGTCTATTTCTTTTTAATTGAAGTGTACACGTACTTGCAGTATTCTGCAGCATTAGTCAGAATTAAGTCACTATTTTCTAATTGCAGCGTGAAATATACCGATATAGTGTTAATATACCGTATATGTTTTAATACTGCATGTTTCGATCACGTTTTCTCAGTATTCTGTCGCGAAGCCCCTTTAACACTGCCAAAGGAAATAGCGTTTCTCACTCAAATCCACGTTTGACTTTTTCCATCCAGACGGCGTGGTGCTGCGGAAACGTGCCTCCCGGACCACGTGGCCTTACATGATGTCCATTGCGTTTGCGTACTTCGTGACGTTATGCCTGTTCCCGGGCATTGAGTCAGAGATCCTGAGTTGTAGGTTGGGGAGCTGGATGCCTGTAGTCCTGATGGCCATATTCAATGCCTCGGACTTCATTGGCAAGGTAGCTTTGGGCCAATTTCAAAGTTGTTATGTTACTCACAATCATTGAGAGAATGGAAATTGTCTTTAACACAGTATCGGGATATATTATTCAAACGTGTCTCACCACGTAAAATCGAAGTTTTATATGAGTTACAAGACTGTGGCGTTGATTTTGGCAAATTAATATATATGTTCCTTCTGTGTGTAACAAACCGCCACATTAAAGGGAACTAATCTACAGTATAAATGAATAAACTGAAGTTTTATACAAGCGATTACTTTGAATGCATATAGAGCTACAGAATATATTCATTTGTAAGCGCTGCCATTTTGTTCAATCAAATATCTACATTTCATCTAGAAGTAACTCTAGTAATCAACTCTAAAATAGTCTTCATATTCTTTAAGATCATAGCGTCATTGCCCTACGATTGGCCCCCTCGTCGTCTCCTGGCCTGTTCAATCCTCCGTGTGCTGTTGATTCCGCTCATGATGATGTGTGCCACGCCCCGTCTAGGACCAATACTGAACGGTGAAGGGTGGGCCATGCTGATATCATTGATTCTAGGGGTGACCAACGGTTACTTTGGCAGTGTCCCTATGATATTAGCATCCACCAAGGTGCCAGATGAACAAAAGGAGCTTACAGGTAAAATGCGCCTCTTTATAATACATAACATAACATAACATACCCTTCACGCACCTCTTTGTGTTCGTTCGTTCGACATTGTGGCATGATTTTTCCACAAATATCGGGCGGACAGACTGAGCATTAGGTATGTGGTTTCGTGCATGCTACTTTAGGTATCTTTCTCTTTAATAAAAAAAATATATCGTAGTTCTTGTCACATCTCTGACATATAATATATATGTTTGTGTTGGTCCGTACGTGTAAAATTCGAGCTGGTTCATATTTTTCGCGTGTCTATACGAAAGATGTAAGATCACATTAGAAACCATGAAGGAAAAAATAATTTTGACATTTCAGGAAATATGATGACGCTTACCTACAGCATTGGTCTGACAACCGGAAGTGTCATGGCGTACGGCTTAGACGATTGGCTAGGACCTCGCCTTCCGCACGACCCCTGCCTGGTAAACAATGCCACGCTAGTCGACCTACTCAATGGAACGATATCGAGTTCATCGTTTGGATAAATGCACAAGATACAAACGTATAGGCTTTTCTAATTTTTGTTTTCGAACACAAACCAAACACTAAAGGCGCTGGACATAAATAAATAGTGAGATGGGCAAATTTCCAGGTCCATGTTGGCCATTCCACCTTTGCCATAATGCAAACAATATTTAGCATAAATGTCTGCAACAAGCAGGTTGTTGAGATGGCACTCGATAGAATCAAACGATAGAATCAAACGATCGTTATCATGACTGGTTTCTAAAATATTAATCTGTAAAAAGTAGAGTAAAATAGAATAAAATAGAGTGAAAATGAAACGAGAAAAAATACTTGCACCATACGGTAGAAAACATTAGCACTTTTGAAAAATGATAAGAATGATTATAGTAAATTAAGATACCTGAGATAATACTGGAATTGTTTCAGCTGATGGTGACCTTACAAACCGCAGTGACCTGACATGATTGTTTACAATAGAGAGCCATATATAAGGCTTTTGTACAGGCACTGTTTTGTTTCGTTCCATACATCTGTCTCCTTACATAAATGATCAGTTGCATTAGCTGTTTCCAGGACTAATGTTCGTTGTAAGGAGTTTTTTTTTTTTGTCACCGCGTAGTCTCCCTTTTTGTATTGATGAATATTATACAGTATAACGGACGCAATATAACGTAACTTATTGGGTCACTATTTCGTTCAACTTGATCTGGAAGCTACGTTCGTCCTAGGATTTCTCAACGACATAGTGTACAAGGTATAGAGGGGAAAGACAACAGCACAAGGCAGCAAATCATACCTTAAGCAGGGGTGAAGAGAAAAAGCGCCAGACAACTGATTTTCGTCAGTATTTTTTTCTCGCTATTCCACGACTACAAAAACCATTTTATCTTTACAACATTCAGCTCGAGATCGTTTTTAAAGCACATTGAAACAAGGACCAGAACTTGGTTTCCAGAGTCAGACTCAAGGTAGCATTATAACCAGATGAAGATGCGAAGCCAAGCAATATAATGTAAAATATATATTTTGCGTCAAGCTCAGTCATGGAAATCGCGGAAACCGATGTATCTACGGGTCGCCTTTGTTTCTCATGTGCTCTCTGACAGATTCCGTTCTTTTTGATTAAACATACTGGTACTGGTACTTCCTAACAAACGCGGTAAGGGCATACAATCTGTTCGTTTTTTTCATGAGAGCCGTTAAAATATGGATATGTGTGTTTTTCAGTCCTTTACCTTCAACGGAGCACTTTGAGTTTAACGATTCGGTTAAATTGTTACATTTGTACTAGCGACAAGAATGAAGATCATCTTGCTGTTTTTGATATCCGTGGTAATGCTTTACGAAATAGCGGAAGGTAGGTTATATTAGATCTATATACCTGATTACGGTATTAATTGCAATCGACTTGAGTTAATGATTTTAGAAAGATAAGAGATTGACTGGCGTTATAAAATTTCTTAACTAATAAAAGTGACAATAATAACCGAGCGTATTCCTTTTCTTTTTTGCTTGTATTTGAGCAACCTTCGCTGACTGTAGTTTAAACGCATCATACGAGTACCCTCACAAATGTAGTCAGATTTATAATATTAATTAATACGTTTAAAATATCTACATACACTGCTAAAAACGAAAAGTTATAATAAATATCTTCAAAAGTGACAATACGGATAATAATATGTGACATTGTAGTGTAGAATAGTTTCATTAGCTATGTTATTGTAATAGACTTGTGAACATTCTTTTGTCTATAGCTACTCATATTTGTCTGGTCTTACCAGCCAATATTTCGTCTGCTTGCAGCCAGACTTCATCAGGGAATGAGGTTGTGATAGGTGTGACGAAATATTGGCTGGTAAGACCAGGCAAATGTAAGTAACTATGGACAAAATAATCTTCACAAGTCTATGTGACTTTGTAATATTGAACCCAATAATAAGTGGTCAGTGTTCTATTCAAACAGGATCCCAACCACCTTGTGAGAGCAATGACGATTGCCATTGTGTTGCCTACCCCGGCACTGGATGTTATGGCGTTTGTGTCAAACAAGAAGGCCAAACCCCGTATTGCTGGAGATACTTGTACCCTACCTAAGGTTAAATGGTTCCATTTCGCTCCCCCCACTCCCCATAGCAACGGACACCATATTACGAGATTGGCAGTAATATTTTAAGTACGATACAATATTGTTATGTAACACAAACCCTGGATAATGAACTGTCAGAATCATAGTCAAATCAATTGTGCAAAATTCAAACAGTGACATACTTAGTCAGGTCAAAGATATCATCTATATAGAAATGGGCACATTTGGATCATGTTCTTTACCGCCGCTGCACTTTGTGTGGATAGATGTATATTCAGAGCTCGTTTTCAGTCACACTGAGAATAACAGTTGAATAAATTTACCACAATGAACGACAGCAGTACTTGGTTCCTAGAGTCAGATTCAGGGTTGCATTATAACCAGATGAAGATGCGAAGCCAAACAATCTAATGTATAATATATTTTTACTCAAGCTCAATCATGGAAATCGCGGAAACCGAGGTATCTACGTGCCGCCTTTGTTTCTCATGTGCTCTCTGGCAGATTCCGCTCTTTTTTCACTAAACATACCGGTTCTTCCTAACAAAAGTGGTAAGGACATATTATCTGTTCGTTTTTTACACGAGAGCCGTTAATATATGAACGTATGTGAACGATAGGTGTGTTTGTGAGTTCTTACCTTGAACGGAGCACTTTGAGTTTATCGATTCGGTTAAATTGTTCACTAGCGACAAGAATGAAGATCATTTTGTTGTTTTTGATTTCCGTGGTAATGCTTTGCGAAACAGTGGAAGGTAGGTTATATTGGATGTATTTAACTGATTACAGTATTCAAATCGACTTGAGTTAATGAAAAATAAGAAAATTACTGGCGTAAAATGATTTCTTAACAAATAAAAGTGATAATAAAAACCGAGCGTACATGTATAATGCCACTGTTAGCTAAGGGTGCACACGGTTGGGTGACGGTTCCCTGCTTTTGTCATTCATGTCCTTTTTGCAGATGTTGTTGCCATGAGTGTAGCCTGTCGAGCAGCATTTATGTTTCAAGTGGCTTTCTGAAATAAGTCCTAGGAATATTAAAGCCTTACTTAAGATTTATTACGTTTTTTAGGGAAATCACACGTGTCACCTTTGACACAGAATAACGCTAACATCAGGCAGTAATAAGTCCTAGGAATATTAAAGCCTTACTTAAGTTTTATTACGTTTTTTAGGGAAATCACACGTGTCACCTTTGACACAGAATAACGCTAACATCAGGCAGTAATTCTTTTTTGAGAGCTGGCGTTTTATACAACTTATCATTTCAGGCGGAATACTGTCAAGGAGCCCATGGATAGGTGGCGGTAAGTCGTCAATTGCTGGGAGCCAATGATTCTTTATGTATTATTCAGTAGCTAAAATGGCACTTTAGCATCACGCATATATTGCCTATATGTTATCTTTTAAAACTTCCAGAGTTTGTTGACAGAAGCATGTTTGGTCTAGTGTACATGTATTCCTGTTTTTCTTTTGCTTGTTTTAGAGAACCTTGAGCAATCTTCATTAACTGTAGTTTAAACACATCATACCCTCACAAATGTAGTCAAATTTATATCATTAATTAATACATATTTTTTAAAAATCCACATACACTGCTACAAAACAAAATATAATAAAAACTGCAACAGTGACAATGCGGATAAGTATTTGTGACTTTGTAATGTGACCCCCAAAATAAGTGGTCAATGCTCTATTCAAACAGGATCCCAACCACCATGTGATAGCAATGACGACTGCCATTGTGTTCCCTACCCTGGCACCACATGCACTGGCATTTGTATCAAACCAGAAGGCCGAACCCCGTATTGCTGGAGATACTCGCACACTATTCAAGGTTAAATGGTTCAATTTCGGCCCCCATAGCAACGGACTACGAGTAATATTTTAATAACGATACAATATTGTTACGTAACACAAACCCTGGTTAATGAACTCTCAGAATCAATGTCACAGATGTTGAACAAAATTCAAATAGTGACACACTTGGTCAAGTCAAAGATTTCATCTATATAAAAATGGGTACATTTGGATCATGTTCTTTACCGCCGCTGCACTTCTAGAGGATAGATGTATATTCAGAGTTCATTCGCAATCACACTAAGAAAAACAGTTGAATAAATCTACCGTTATGAACGACAGCAGTGCTACTGCAAGATATACTTGGTATACCTGTGTCACTGTATAATATTACGGCTGTACCGGTACATTGTAGGGGTCGATTAAAACCATGCTAAATAAAAATAAAATGCAAAATTTCCAAGGTAGTTTGTAATGAGATTTCTTTTCCCGCTTCTGAACATAAACTTGCAAATACTCAAAGTCTGTAGGCCTAGATGATTGTGGCTACAGTTCGTGTTTTGATCCCTACCATGGTTTTCATAAAGAGCAGCGTTTCTGAATAGATCGTAACAGCAGTCTACCAGAGGCGGGACCTTTGTTGGGTCAAGATGGCAGCCTTGACCATAGGAGTGTCACTGACAACTAGATGCTGATCAAAAAAATAAATTCACCCTTTCTACTGAAATATGTTATATGACATATAATCTGCTTTGTATAGTATACTAGTATATTTACTATAGTACCGCTATATTACTATTGTGCGCCATATTTTGTCAAAGCATATCACCTCATAATTGTTGCCTAGGTTTTATCAAATACATGTTTTTTAAGCAGTGAAGCCGTGATCATATCAACCTTCATTCAGAAATAAAATTTTATTTCCTTTCATTCCACGCTCGTACATCCAACAGCAAGTAAAAACAAAATGAACAAGCAAAATATCTAAGCGATTTTTGTATGGACGTATTAACTTTTTATAAGGCTAATAAGTCTGATTTTGGATTATTCATGGTATACGTTTCCGTGTACCTTTTGTCGCCATGATAGGTGGAACAATCGATCAGAGAATGTCAGCTTAACACA